AATTCTGATTGTTTGGTCGCTAGCAACATTGATTCATCAGTACAATGTGGGTTGTGCATGCTGACTCCTAGTTGAAAAAATGACTCTAGTATCACACGTTAGGTACTGCGTGTTTCTGCATGGCAAATATACGGAATTTTGCCGAATATCTGTTATACATGCGTATTTACATGTTATTTTGTGTCTTCATGCTTACTTTTGTGATCCTTTGTGTATTCAGGCTTTCCAATCTATTCCTTTGTGTACAATCTCGCTATATGTAGGTAGTTTCCACGCATAGCGGTGATATCGTACGACACCGCATCGTTAAAACTCTCATTGGCGATCAGAAATTACAAATGGCTCTCCAATACGGACTAAGCCGTGAAGCACACGTTTTCAACACTTTTGGGGCCGAACTATTTGAGTCAGGTCTCATACCCAGGATATACTATGCCACTACCAACGATATCACCGGCTCGAAGACCGTGATGATGGAAGATTTATCCAAAGGGCATGTGGTTGCTAGTGTGTTTTTTAGCAAGAATTCACCTCATATGAAGAATGCCGACCCTAAAGACGAGGTAGGGGAATCTGCAAAGTGCTTGGGAGAAAATTCTATGCTATCATACAGGTTGAGGTTACAATGCATGCCTGCCTCCTTGTTAGGTTTAAATGAGGAGCACACCAGAAACACCCATACGCTATGCTCGTATATGTATAACGATTTCGCCCATCATGGGAAGTTCTAGATAACATGATTTCGTTCCCGACCGTTTCGTACATGTTTCGATTCAGCTGAAGGAAACAATATTCTGCTGATGGCGATTGTATATTTTTCTCACCTAAGCGGAAATTAAATGGCTCAGATGCAATATACCAACACGAAAGCTTAGAAATCATTTAAAAAGTCAATTGCCAGATATGGACACGGATTCATCTACAATGCATTGGAACACACGATTGATCAGGTCAACTATAAATTGAGTGGCAAGGCAGTAGCAGAGCTCACTTTCCGTACTTTGGCAAGACTGCACGCACTCCACTGGAACGATACCTCCTTGCTGACTCACAGCTGGTTGCGAAATGTGGACGTCTTAACAGCCAATTCTGGGTAATACATACGTTAAGCTTTGATATATACAAGTTTACATCTTTGAAAGTATTCATCTGTTTGCAGAACATTCGCGCGCAAGTTTTCCAGTGAGATGTACGTATACTCTAGCTGTTATTCTTTCAAAGCTGTATCATCTACTGAGTTGACCAATAGGTATGTATGGGTGGGTAATTCCGTGCTACACGTCGTTGTAGTAACGTTGTTATGTGAGATTACACCTACGTGCACATGCTGTGTTACACGCTCTCACTCTGAATATACCGTAGTGAAGGATGGTATCGCGCGCTACCAAAGGAAAATCCTTGCATGTTTCTGCTTTCCAATTTGAGCTGGAATATAAACGAAATCATTTTTATGAAGGCATGGTTTCTGCGCGGATTTTCCAGAATGTGTAATTCTGTTGTGCCCCTCATGGTAGACTTTTGCATGTCTCTGAGCACGCTTTTTTATTCACAAGTTTTGGCCATGTCCTCAAAATTGTTTAGCGTATGGTCTAGCGACAGTTAAGGAGTTGTGCAGTCATATTGCCTGTGAATAGGGATGATGATCTTGTCGTCTTCATGACATGACATTGCGCTGTATTACCTTGACCTCGAAATTTTTGAACATACTGATCTCTTGTGCTCGTGTTTTTTTCTTCATTTGTGCTTACATTTAGTTGATACTGCACAGGATAGAAACATTTCAATATTTATCGTATGCTACACCGCACTGAACCTTTTGCGTTCATTTCGTTTTCTCGCTTACATATCTCTTTAGTATCAACTCTCTTCTTCAGCATTCAAATATAAATCCTACACAATCAACATTTCGCGAGTTTGCGATCACTCAATCTAATTCCCACGTGTTTTTGTTGCAATTCCCTGTTTCAGTACGGATGCCACTACTCAATGGACAACTTTGGCAGATTCACTCCGTAGCTCATGGAGTAAAGGCCAAATTCGGGAAGACATCACATGGGATACTCACCTTCTTCAATGCATGGACGCATCCATCGGCAAGCTGTCGTGGGAGTCTCTTCACGAAGAAAACCAATCGATTCCGTATACGCTCTGTCACGGGGATTTTCACGCGGGAAATGTTTTAGTTGATCAGGTACGTGCTGTTGACAGCATAGCTAGCAAAATATCGGGAATGGGCTGAGATCTGAAACCTACGTCATAGGGCCAGTCTTGTCCAGTTATTTTTGTTGTTGCATTTCGTAAAATTTGCTGTTACATGTCTAGTTGTGCAATGTATCATATAACATACGCTTGCTTTGTGTCACATGCCAGGTGTATTTGCTTGCGATCGGGCCCAGCTCTTGTTGTCACACTATATTTGATACCTGATCGTCAGCACACTTAACTCATTTCTCTAAAAAAACTTACCTAATCAACGAAAATCAGGCCAACGAGACTGTAAAATTCGTTGATTTCGAGGTCTCTATGGTGAACATAGGTCCAAGGGAATTAGGCCAGTTTACAATCTCAAATATATCGACTGCTGAGCGCCGTCAATGGGAGAAGACTTTGGTTCTCACATACCACAAAGAACTAAGCAAATGTTTAGGAGACAAATGTCAGATAAGCGAGGAAGATTGTTGGCTGCAATACACTCAGGGATGTTCTCGATGGGTTTTCTTCCTTGCTCTCTTTGTTGGTACGTGGCAGGCAGATGCTGTCACATGCCAGTATTTCCATGATCAGATCGCCGACTTTTTGCACGACCACGTTTCCGATCCGAAAGATATGGTTCAACCTCTATTATAATATGCTTGGAGGTAGAAGGTGATCTTTTGGCCTGGGGTGGCCAGTGCGAAGAATTTACCCTTACGACAAGTCCGATCGAAATGACAACCATCGCAAGTGGATATCGCGACACTTTCCTCGCGTAGTATAGTAGTGGGCATAGCGATAGACCGCCGGTCTTTCTGTAAATAGATCTAGCAGTAGATAAATATTGTGGTGTCATGTGCGGCACTTGTATACCTTCTAATCTCATTATGAGATGTCGAGCATGGCTAATAGCACATACAGGCGTAGCGATTTCTGAGGTATTCACAGTTGTATCATATACGCATCTTCAAATCACGTTTCGACTAAACTAAAGTAGTATATGTTAGAATATTCTACCCCACCGCTTAATTCAGCCCGAATTGAACTCTGGCCGTGGCTTGAACATGGATCTGTTACGAGAACACGGATAATAGAATTGGCAACCGAATTGTGGGTGGACTTGCGTTAGCGGATAGTGAGCGGATTGGAAACCCTTCCAATCTTTATCTCGGTCCCCACCCATCCACTCCCGTCCCTCCATTTCCTCTATTAATGTCACTGTCAAGTCAGAATTTAGTGGTATGGTGATGGAATATTGAACTATTTTGATTGTTATTGCAATTTTCCTATCGCAATCGTCCGTTTTGATTAGTTAATTGATTACCTCATATTTAAACTCTATTTGTTTGCTTGATTACACATTTCTTGTGAGGTCGTAGCCAGTGGTTTAATGACATACAACACCCGGGAGCGTTAACATCGCGGTATCGTCATGTGTCAGGCAGCTACTATTTACGGGCCTTACAGGTCTGATATAATACCTGTTGCTAAATTTCCTTTGTGCTTGACTCATATTCGGGACTACTCCATTCTTTTTGCTATTTATATTTAACCACAATCATTATTGCTTTACTTGGTCTTTCCAACACCAGTACAGAATGATTTTAGGCAGTGTGCTGTACTATATCCTCACGCGCGCTTACAAAAAATAGGCTTGCTACCAATCATATCAACATGCTTTGTCGATGGATGATCGTGCCCATTGCATTAATCATCACTGCCATTACAAAATATATAGCAGTTTCGCCATATGCACTCTTAAGTTAAGAACTAGGAAATTCGCCTTCTTGTTGCTGCTTCTGAGCTCTCACACAGTTTTGAATCTTGTGTCCAATCGTGCTGTCATACTATTCCTACTATCAAATACTCCTACCATCGAACGCGAGAGTTACGTTGTTTGCTCCGATGTGGTGATCAAGTGATCTATTGTGGTGTATAAAGTAGAAGTGGTCGAACGGCTTGGTCTTCTCACAGTCAATGTCAGATCTGACATATATTCTCCCCATATGCTGCACAGCAAGACAAGATAGTTCCTCAGGCTGTGTACATTCTTAAGCAGCATGAGGAAGTTTAATAATGTTAGGCACGCTTAGCTCAGTCGAATTTACCGTTCGGCATTTGCGATTTGCCCAGCTGTTGGACACATTTGGGACGCTGTGTGATAGCGTCTTTTCGCACTGTGCCGTTCTGATGTGTGTACAGTTCTGCCTTTGTTTATATACGCGCTCCTGTGCCCCTGATGAGGTGACGGTGTCACGGACGTCGAGGACAGATGAAGGGAGTGGGGGGGTCGGTAAGCATCTGACAGTATCGAAGACGGCAAGAAAATCTTGGATCGGATGCGTAACGCCCCCCATGGTTCTCTTGTATGGCAGATCCATTCCTGAGTTGGTGTGGCGTAATGCAATACTTAGTAGTCTTAGAGGGGATACTTTGAAACTCGGGCTAATCTCATGCAAAACAGGTACTTTGAACTACGAAGCATTCCTCCAAGCAAGACTATTCTCGAGTCAACTGAGCGAACAAGTGATTTTACAGCTCTAGAATCTCGAGAAATATGTGTGATGATCGACATGCTGGCAATAAGTCTGACTGTGCCTTCAGACCGAGTAAGGAAGCTAGTGGGCTGTCGCGCTTTCCAATGATATTTAAAATATCAGCAGGTCACAACACACAGGCATGAGTGAAGATTCACGAGGCAATATGAGAAATGCAGCTGACGTCGGGTAAAAAGTGTGAACAAATAACAATTTAGAATGCATTCCAGCAAGGGCAAGATAATATAGTATCCGAAGAGTGCAAGTAAATTAACATATTTTAACAATCGAACATCTCTCGATGGCAAGCTTGCAAATTTAGTCCCTGCGTAGCGCAAAATGTACAATTTATATGAGTTTTGTGTCTCAAATTTACACAATAGTTACACATACCCAAATCCCAGAATGCGAAACCAGCCGATTGCAGTATTTTGCACGTGGCAATCATTTGCACAGTCCCTGCTGAGCTCATTGTGAAGTAGCCGCTTAGTGAAGTGTATGCAGTCCCCGCTGTGAATCCGACCTCGCCGCCCACCAATTGCCCATTATTGTAGATCTGGCGCAGACAATGTCATTCAGTTAAATAGCAACCAATTGCGATTCATAGAGATTGTCTTTTGAATAATTTAATCTCCAGTCATTGTGCGCAGAATTCTGGACGGACAACATGTGCGACTAGCTCATAATAGTTGTCAATGTATCCGTTTTGCATACACACCGAATATTTGTAATTGTCTTTCGAAGTCGAACATATATAGTACTATTGTATTCGGCCATAAATATTGGTCTCTCAATCGTGAATTGCTCTTCAGCACAAGGTTTCTTACAGCACATTCTTGTGTCAAAAAACGACGTGACAAACATCAGTGTATGTCAAGCGAAGCATTGGGTATACATATAAGATACATGCAGTTTGGGCCAGCAGCTGAGGATAGAATATTCTCCCGAGGACAAAAGCATCGAGCGTGTGGAGATGCTAAGCAACAATGATGACGAAAGGTACCACCGCATACCTCGAATGAGCACAGCCGTATTGCAGAACACTGCGGTGTGCGATGTAACAACTTCAAGGCTTTGACTAAGGGCTTCGTTAGCCAGCCATCACCATTCACTCTCACGCACTCATCGATGACTTGATCAAAGCATTTGTTTATAGATATCTGAAAATGCTTCATACGCTTTCGAGCGCTCTTATCTATCTGTATGAGGATTCAACGATGATTTTGGATGTATGTACACTTGCTTACTCCAACCGTGGTCACCAAGCGGTACAAAATGGCGAGTGAAAGTATCATGTCTCAAATTGAATAGATCTTCGCAAATAGTTAGTCTTTCAAAAGCGATACTAGCACCTACCTTAAGATCAGGAAGATGAAGAACACAGCGGTGCTTGTGCAGCTTCGGTATCATACCGTACGTATGGTCAGTCGTGCTAAGTTGACTAAGGGGAATGAACCCTAGGTACATCAAATTGCTAATCAACCGTGTATCGAAACTTCGGGTATAGCAGAACTCGTATCTGGGGGGGGTCCATATCATTATCATACGAAATTATGGTCAACCAGATTGTGGGTAGGTGTACTTCATAGAGTGCTTCAGCAAATTTTACGCCCACATGAAAATCAGTTCTTACTACGAATAGAGATACAGACAGATACGCACACAAAAAAAAATACCCACCTCAGATAATTAGTGAACTGTTTGTTTGAGACTTTCAATTGAGCAAGAGCTGCAAACAAAACGGGCGAACGCAATGAAGTTGTGTGATATTTTCATACCGGTACGAGTCTGCGCACATGAGCGTCCTGGCCGTATCCAAGTTGCTTTTTTCATCCACCTCATATAAGTAGCCATGTCCACTGACGTGAGTGCGCCGACATTTACCAGAACCTACAGCACCATCACCAACTACGAAATGAACCCAGATGTTATGATAGAGGGGAGAAAGCAAAGGTATGCAGCCGAGAGTGAAATAGCCAAAATGAAGACTAGATCGAAATCTCACAGAGATATACATGGGTAGAGTTCATCACTGCAAGTGTGTATGCCACCATTGGGAAATGTAGCGTATACTTGCATGTGATGCATGATCTACACCAGAAGCGAGTAGGGTGCAATCACGCACGTAGAACGCTCTAAGCGCCCAAACATATGCAGGTACATCATTTGAAATGAGTAAATCTCAGTTTCTAGTGTCTGAAAAACGTCTGGTGACTTATTACATCTTTTGGTGCATACTAGCTCAAAGATCCGTACTTAACCTGACTACCTTCAAGAAATAAACACATGTGCGATCGAATAACAGCAATTAATAATGGTCAATATATTGCCTCCGCTGCACTACTCACACCACAAGACTCCCAGCTATATACACACCTTCGCCGCTATCCCATGGTGATGCGATTTGGTTGCAAGCAGATCTCATATGCTTCAAAAGCATACCTATAGTGGCAGGGATGGCATTGTTTGAGTTACATAAACCAAAATTTAGAGGTTATGCCCCAAATCTTCTAAAAACGCCAATGGCTACATGTTCATAACTAGTTTATGTAAGTATGCGTACTTCTAGCTACGATATACGTTCCGTTATATCATAAGATAAGAAGGACCTGTAGCTACTGATAATCGATAATCGTACAGCTGAGATTTCAGTCTAATTTGAATATGAGCATCTATCCAAAATTACGAGACATCATAGCTTCCGAGTCAATATGGCGAAGTTTGCTTCTTGCTTAGCTGCTACCACAGGAAAGTTTATATCGCGTAGCGCCATAAAACCTGTGATTTACTGTTACACGAATACTTTATGCATGTGATCAAGTACACTGTAACGTTCAAGGCTCAAATTGGGGTACTACTCGCACTACATGTACACTGACTTGGAGATTAGTTTGAGTTTTGATTCGATATCTTATACCAATTCGTGCACACCCAAGCACCTACACGGCATTGATTCACTTCTGAATTAAGCACACAAATATAGGTATAAAAGTTCTAATAGGAATATTTCAGCACTGATCCAAGTTTCCGAGTCTTTGCACACAAATGTGATATAGAGCTAGTACGAGGTTTAGTACGAGGTTTCTCTCGTGTATATGCTAGAGATATACATCGTTATTCTACG